ATCTATCTATCTATCTATCTATCTATCTATCGGTCTACCATCCATCCATCCATCCATTAAACAATATTTATATCTTAAATACACTAAAATAAGAAATTTTTATTTTGCATTAAAAAATTAAGAATTTTTTTATTTTCAATTGTAAGTTTATTTATTTGCCTTTTTTTATTTTACTTTTAATTTTTATTGTTTTAAAATAAACTTAGCATAAGGTACATTCTGTACTTAACTAATGTTTTCAACAAATTGTACCCTAGTATACACTTAGTTGAATCAATAAGATTAAAAAAATAATTTGGTATCATTAAGATTAAAAAGGATCATTTTTAGGATCTTTTTTTAAAGCAAAATAACCCAGACATTTCATGATAGTTTTCATGTAATTTATTAAATGATATTAATTTATATAGTGTCACCGTAGCATATTTAGACAGCCACACTTAGAAATGTCTGAATGTAATTTTTACTTAAAAATATCAAAGCAATGTTTTTTTTGTTTTGTTTATTAAATATGATTTTTTTTTTTTTAAATGAAGACACATAAATGTATTTAGATGTTTTCATAGCTGATGTGATGAACTACACCAGTGGTTACTCTGCCGGGACACATGAGGAGGCTTCATATATATATATAGATAGATATCTAAAATCACTAAAAATCACCTTGTTAAAAGCATAAGTACCAAGTCACCAGTTAAATGTAACTGCAAAATGGCTCAGAAAAATGAATCTAATTCTGAGCAAATCCTTTGTAACATTTGATAGCAGATGACATTTTAATATTTCCATGTAATGTTATATAATTCAAACATTTTGACGTGTGGCTTGTGTCCAGTGTGTTTTAGACCCCTGTGTCACTGTATCATCTCAGCTGAAGCTTTAACACTCTTCTTCTGCTGCCTTGCAAGCGCTCCGTTTTCTTCCGGAAATACAAATGCACTTGTGTTTGTTGTGTCCCAGAGTGTCTGGCTGCTTTATTCAGCATCTGCTGGTGTTGGCAGGTTGTTAGCAGAGACCCTGTGATGCAGTGCCCATGTAATCTCTCTGATTAGTCTGTGTGTGTGTGTGTGTGCACATCCAGATGAGTGCTGCATTCAGACACCTGAGACTCATTGTGCGCACAGCTGTTTGGACAGCACACGTCTAAAACCTTCTCTCCTATTTTCACAGTCAGACTCACTATCACCTGTCGGCTTTTCAAATCTCAGCGTTTGGATCCCGCTGCGGCGTAAAAGAACATCTTAATTATGCTTCTGTCCGTTACGGTTTACATGCTGTGACGACAGCAGATACGCAAGCCCTGCTGTGACTATTGCTCATGCTTTGAATTTGGGGTTTGTTCAAATTCCTAACTCAAAGTATTAAACTTTGGAGCATAACCTGTAGCGTTCACACTGCAGATGTGAATTACACCTCGTTTTGTTGAGGAGAGATGTTCTATTGCTATGCTGTTGATTTAACACATTCATTTGGTGCGTTTATTTATGGAAAAATTAACACATTAAAATGAACTCGTATAACGCACCCCAAATGTTGATTTAAATAAATAGCTCATTAAACAATATCGTGTTACATTTTAGACTCAATATTGTCTGTTTTTCTCAATTATTTTTATTTTTTTTTCGTTTCGTGATGTTTTGTTGCTAAATAAATCCGCAGTTTCTAACAAATCGAGTGAGTCGATGATTCATTGACTCGCGTATAAAGACAGTCACTTGCTTTGTTTCTAAATGAATCAACCATTTGAACAAATCAGTTAAAAGAATGACTGAATGATTCACTCATTAAGACAGTGACTTGCTGCCACCTACTGGTGGTTTTTGTTTCATATTAAGAGTATTATTTCATTAAAAAATATAACTCAATATAATTTTTTTAACACATTAAAGGCAGGGTAGGTGATTTGGTTTAAAAACATTAAAAGTCTCTTCACATTCTGATCGCAATCACTAAGTTAAGTGGTTTAAATTTATTTGTATGTATTTTTATCGTCTGTGGAAGGCGTAGGATCATAAAATGTTTGTCCAATCATATCCCTCGGTCCTACCTGCCTGTCAACGTATGTATTTACATACCTTTATGCACCCTGTTCGCGCAGACATGATCAGCGCGGTCCATTATCCTATTGCAGACCGAGCGAGAATGAAAAGCGTTATTATTGTAACATTATGCGCTTTATACTGTAATGTTTTCTCACCGTTGAATGAGACATGAGGTAATCTGACGACAACGCCGTCTCTTGTCATGTAGCTATAACAATGTTATTGTCCTGGGCTGCGTTTCCCAAAAGCATCGTAAGCCTAAGTTGATCATAGCTCCATTGGTTTCAATGGGTCTACGATGTACTTAAGCGTACAATGTTTTTGGGAAGAGGGTGGATAAAGCGGAAAGGAAAAAATCATGTATCTAGAAACCAGAATGTCGTAGAAACTCGTGGTGGCAGGTTTTGCGCAATTACGCCGCAAAATGTAGAAATCCAATTTTTCTAACCTGTTCTCTCTCTTGTTCTGTAGGGACGAGGAACATGCTTTAATTCTGCAGTACTGTCAGACTTTGGGAGGGGAGGGCTCATCCTTCAGCCAGCCCCAAACCCCCGCCCACGTCAGCAGGAGCCCCGCCCATAACACTCACAGCCCCTCCTACCTGATCCAGAGCCCCGCCCAGATCCTGCAGGCTGTGGAGAGGGAGGAGCGAGGAGAGCTGGAGCGAATCATAGCGCGACTGGAGGAGGAGCAGCGGTAGGTTATGAATAGTTCATGTCCACTTCAAAGTCACTGTGAAATCAAAACTGACCATTTTTTTAATGGAATATTGCAGTGTGTATTATAAACATTTTATCTGTGCACAATAATCCCTCCCCTCCAGCAATCTGTCATTCACATCAGATCACAGCAATTGTCAAACAGCAATGATCCACTGATCCAAACAAAATTTCACTAAGATTCACATAATAGAAAAAACAATCACAGCTTTACGACTAACAACCCAAATGATTTTTTTTTGCATTGGTTTTTGTGGAAAGTCTGTGGATCTTCATGTAAATGAATAGTTCATGTCCACTTCAAAGTCACTGTGAAATCAAAACTGACCATTTTTTTAATGGAATATTGCAGTGTGTATTATAAACATTTTATCTGTGCACAATAATCCCTCCCCTCCAGCAATCTGTCATTCACATCAGATCACAGCAATTGTCAAACAGCAATGATCCACTGATCCAAACAAAATTTCACTAAGATTCACATAATAGAAAAAACAATCACAGCTTTACGACTAACAACCCAAATGATTTGTTGTACCTTGTGTTTTTTTTTCTTTCTTGCATTGGTTTTTGTGGAAAGTCTGTGGATCTTCATGTAAAACATCTTCATTTGACAAATCCTCTTGTTTTTAATTTTTAATTAGAAGTTACAAGTCACTGTTTTAAGAAAAACAAATGAGCAAGTGGAGAATCGTCTATAAAGTCTAGCTGTGATCTTTAAGCTGGTCAATCTGAAGTCCTGTTCAAGGAAAGTCACCATGTTCACTCCGCATCCATATTTGCAAAGCCTCTAGGCAACTATTTCAGTTAAGTGAGAACAACAACTATCTACTTGAATGAGGAAACACTGAAATCTCAAGAAGGTGCTGGCCAAACTCACATCTAATAACACATTTCAAATCAGCAATGCGATCTAAGAAGAATTGTCCCATAAATATTGTTTTTTTTACACGAAAATAGCACTAAACCTATAGCAAATGTACATGTGCAAAGTGTAAAACATGGCAGAAAGGCTGAATGAAAATTCCGTTTTCTTTGCAGTGCAATACCTCTCTAAAAAATATGTTCTATTTATTTCATGCAAATGTTTGTGTCAGTCTAAACAGATGCATTCAAACAGCCGTTCATTCAAATTAAAATGTTTATTGCACCAAATATTAATCTTGCTGTGAATGAAGCACAAGTCTCAGGAGACTAACTGATTTTATGGGAACCAGACCTTCTAACAGCAGACTTTAACAATTGGCGATTAACTGTTTTGTTTAGAAGGCGGGACTAGAGCTGCCACATTGTACATTGCAGTTTCTCCCATTCATTCAATAAATAATGCTTTTACTTTTAATTTAATTAATGTTAAGGTTACAATTATTCAGTGCAAGAGCTTCACCGTAATTGGTCTGGTTATGATTTGCATCTGTTTAGTGTGTGTTTGGCAGTGGGCTGTTCTGTAGCTTCCTAACAATAGGCTGAATTTGGCTGCAGGTCCCTTTGGGTTCACTTTTCTTCATTGCCTTTCAAAAGCCAGAACATAAAAGAACCGGCGCAGCATCCAACAGTCATAACTCAAACTCACAATAAACAAAAAGCCCAAATGCCGGTGTTATAAGTATATGGCGTATAAACATTCTCTCTGTCTGTCCGTGGCCAGGACCCTGCAGAGGGAGTATGAACAGTTGCGCCAGCAGCACGGTCAGCCCGGCGCGGGGGCCGCAGCTGTTGGCGGGGCCCCTGAGGAAGCTGACCTGTTAGCTGAAGCTAAACTCCTGCGACAGCACAAGGGACGGCTGGAGCTGGGTTTGTCCCTATTTTACCCAGCACTGGGTTGTATTTAACCCAGCATTTTTTAGAGTGTAGTTGCCAAACTTAGAGCTGGTCTGCAGATTTTAGGCACTCGGGTTGATAGATTTATGCAGAAAAATGCAACAAGGCATGTTTTTGCATGAGTTTGTTGTGTTTGGGATGGCTTGAAAGACTGGTGCTCCTTAGTTGTTTAGTGAATGATGCCAAGTTTTTCCTCTGTAACCATTTACGAAGTGGATGATGCCTAGTGTTTTAAAATCTGTTCAGTTTAAGTAGTGTATTCCAGCCTTCAGATATTTAGTTATGGCCAAATTCTTAGCCAGATAAAAAATGGCAGATATATTGTTTATGAATATTTTAATATACTCATTCTCTACTCATATCACGCAAATCAGCGAAAATGATTAAAAACGCTGTATTATGCACTTTTTGCACTTTGAAACATGTTTTCAAAAGTTCACGTTTTCACTCCCCCAAATTGGTGTGCGTATAAACGGCCAAAACTGTGAGTGTGAATGAGTAAATCGTGAGGTCATTTTCATTTTTGGGTGAACTATCCCTTTAAAGCAGGGATGGGCAACGTTGGTTCAAGAGTGCCAATGTCCTGCAGAGTTTAGCGCCAACCCTGATGAAACTCACCTGCCTGTAACCGTAGTAATCCTGAAGACCTTAATTAGATTGTTCAGGTGTGTTTGATTAGGGTTGGAGCTTATGGTGTGTTCAAGTCATGTCGGATAGATCGTATTTACGAGTTGAACGCACATTAACGCCACCACAAAGTCGTTATTACGAGTGGGAAACTCAAAGTTTTCTTTAAGCCCCGAGTTTTCGAGTTGGGGGCGTGTCAGCAAAAAAAAACGTGTCGGATGCAATGGACGCAGCCAAAGACTATACATATGCATGTATTGACAGTAAATTTGTTGAAATTAATCAAATTATAATTTTTTTGTAATGTACTATATAAGCTACATAAGTTAGTGTTTTAGCACTTTCGGTTCCATCATCCTAAAGTTGATGGTTTTTTTTGGTTAAATGCCTGAAATAAGGTCTTTGGTAAACACAAGGTTGGCCAACAAAAAATGTCACCCCCGCAGCGCTCTATTGGAACAGAGCTTGAATCTTGTATAGCCTTTTGATTATTGGAACTAAAGCCTAGCATCTTATTCTGGCCAAGAACTGTCCTCTTAGGCAGTCCTATTTTTTTGAATATGCATCAGTCTGTTCCTGAACCGTCCCGAGTGTGAAGCTGAGACTAACATTCACCTGGCTCAGCTACCTCGCTGTATAAACTGCTATTGTTCCATCCTTCAATGGGTTTCATGGTCTAACGGGCAATGCCAGGGAGTCCAACGGCCGCCAATAGCGTCGTGAATCAAGCACAGGAGTTCAATGAGCCCTGATTTAGAGTAACAGTAATTTATTGGGTCTCCTGAGGGCCTGACTTAGCCATATGGTCTTGTCAAAGGCTCTTAGCTAAATAAACACAATATAACTCGATATCCAAGAAGGCAAACAAGACTGTCATTCCAGTCTGACATTTCTGGCACCATGCTTTCCACCTACAGGAGGCAGTAATGACTGAAACACTGGAAGCACTCATGCATTTTTCAATATTTGATACTGTGTTGCAGGTGTATCACTGTTAGTTAGGGGTAAGTTGATTTTAAACGATGCCTATCTCTCTTTCTAGCCTGAGTTAAATGGCTCGTCCTCTTCTGGCTCTCTCCATCAGGATACAGCAGGACAGGCCGAGGTCACAGGTATAGATACACACACACACTACGCTGGGTGGTTATACTGAGGGCTCTGATTGACTTCTTTATGTAATAATCTGTTGAGTGTATTCTGTGTGTGTCCTCAGATGAGTTTCTCCATCAGTGTGCTAACAGTAACTCTGATCTGGCTGAGGTTGTGGAACAGATTAACCACAGTTTTCCTGCATGCTCTCGTAAGTCTAACGCTCTGACTTTCCCGCTCTCAATCTATCTCTCAGCATGCCGGCTAATACTCGACTGTCTTCTGGGTTTTTGACCTGCTTCCTTCCTTATTTCCCAGTGTGCAGTGAAAGTCTTTGGCTGCATCCCAGTAGAGCGCAACAGTCGGGGTCTGGAAGTAAAATCCCATTCAATTTGCTTCATAGATAAAGCATTTTTGAATGAACAAAGAAATTTTCGCCAAGTAGTTTAAATGCATAATTTCCAGTGAGATACTACACTACCCATAATCCTGAAGAGAGATCCACCAATCAAAAGTCACCATAGGCTCAGAAATGGAAATTGCTCAACAGAGACCTTGCAATTGCCAGCATTCCGAATAACGTAATTAAATATTGTATACTTTAGAAAATTGTACATTAAACTTACCATGTAATATTTATATGCATTTTTTATTTTATATATTGATATTTTGAATTAGCTTTTATATTTATATTTTCAGTTTTCAATTTTATGTGCTTTGTTTGTTTTAACATTTCTATTTAGCTCTATTTTACTTTTAGTAATTTTAGTACCTCAACTTGAATTTGTTGCAGTTCTTTAAGTTTTTCATCTCAAATTTCTATTTTATTTCAGCTTCATTTCTGAAGTTTTAGTTAACAATAACAACACAGGTTGCATGTTGCAGATTTGACTGCGTAATTCGCAATGTTTCATGCATTTTCTTCATTGCATTTTGGGAGAAAAAACAGCTTCTACCAGCATAAGGTAGTTCACTAGTCTTGTTTAAACAGGTATAGTTTGTTCCCCAGTCTGACAAACTGACAAATACTCAAAACCCCTCTAAAACCATCCAACCAGACCCATACGGCCACTACCTTAGGCTGGATTTATCTTGGAAGTAGTTGTTTTTTCAAACTGTTTTATTTTTTGAATGCCTATGAAGAAAATGAATGAGAAAAATACTTCCAGAACCACGCTTGCTGAAAAAGTTAACATTCAAAGTTGCTCTACTCTACTACATACTAAAAGTATGTACTTCACCAGTACATACTTTAAGTACACTTACAAGTAAGCTATAACTGGAATATACTAACATGCCATTGTTGGTGCACTGTTTGCATCTTTGCATTAGCATAGCTGCAATCAATTTGACATCACATTTAGGTAAAGTGTCATGAAACCCTTCATTTCAGCACATCAGTTCTCAGAACAGTGAAAAGAGTAGGAGTGGAGGGAGGAGAGAATACAACAGTTGTGTCTGATCCACGCAGTTTTATTTTGCTTTAATGGCATCAAAGGTTCTCATAAATGCATGCTTCTATTCATAATTGCACTCAAAAAAAAAAAGCCCTGTATTATGCAAGTTCACAGTGCATTACACAAATACACGCAGCTCATTGTATATCTATTATTTAATGCACTAATAAATGCAAGCTGTTTTCATTTGCATCAAAAAAGTGAATGTGCATTTGCATAACTTTAGTTATTCCTTGATGTTGACTCACTGAGTGTTTTGATGGTGTTTGTGTCCATTGCTATCAGATTGTCTCAGTCCACTGCCTAATGAATCTAGAAACTCTCACTTGATAACTGCTCATTGCACTCAAACATTTCAAAGCTGCTGGTTGATTGAAAGCCTGTCGCTCCATCAGCATCACAGTGTACAGGCTTTCAAGTGTTTCTGTAAGGTATCAACTCACTGAAGTGCCTGCTGAGCGTTTGAAGCGCTCGTCTCAGGACAAATGTGACATGATGTCATGAATAATTATGAGGCACTGCTGACGCTTTCGTGCAATGTAACGTGACGTTTTCGAACCAGAAAATAGCTCAGAATTCCCCTAATAACAGATTGACTCTAATATCGTCTTCCATCATGTATCTCATCTGATTTATTGTTTCATTACTCAAATTATTTTTGCAACAAGTCGAAACAGACTCTAGGTATGAAATTAACACCTGCCACCATCCGAATGCAGGTATTTTTTGTGCAGTGATGGGCAATTTCGCTCATCGACTAGCCATTGTGACAGGCGACCTGTAAGACGTCTCAAATTGACAGTTGACAAACAATGTATTATGCAGAGGCAGCCATGCGTGCTTGAAGATGCCATCCAATCATGTGATGCATTGCACTGTATTACAGACCAGCCCTAGTATTTAGGATGCAAATTGGTTTCGCACCTTCTGTCCTATTCATATTTTCTTTCACTTACCAATCTATGATTTTGCCCTACAACAATAGAAATCCTTTACAATCTCAGAAATTTGATTCAGATGGCAGTATTATAGTGTACACTGGGTTTTGGCTACTGTATCATCTGCCAGATCCAGCACTCTTCTGCCTTTGAGAATGCCCCCATTCCTGCCGTCTGAGAGCTTTGATTGTGAATTGTGTTTGTAATCGCTGTTGTTTGAAAGAAAATCGCATAGCGAAGCCTTTAGAGACTCCATTTTATGGAATGGCTCGACTTAAACGAGTGTTTTTATTACCTAGAAGTTACTGATAAGATTCAACTGTTATTGTTGAACTTAATTTTGAATTCCGCCCAGACTTTGGCTTGCATTGTTAGCTAGAAACTCTAACTCAAATATTGATCTGGGCACATTGTCGTTTCACTGCATTGGGCCCTTATGCGCGACGAGCTTCGGTCTGGGAGAAGATATGGGGCCATTTCCATGTTCTTTGTTTGATGGGAGAGTTTTAACGAAGGCACAGGTGATATGAGTGTTCGGAGCCGTCTCTCTCTTGTTTGCGGTCATCTCCCTGTAGAGTTCATTAAAGCGCTTTGCTCAGTGTTCAGAAGAGCAGTCTCTTGAGTCTGAGCTTGAACGCTGTGAATTAAAAGTTTGGCCATTGTGGAGAGTCTGCATGTGTTGTTCTTGTCAGGACTGTCTTGGTTAGGATAGCTGTTATTTTGTCCTAATTGTGTCTCTCTTTGTCTTTCCCTTCTGGGTCCTGTAGCGTCAAGTGTGTCATCAAGGCCCAAGGTAAGTCTCTCCACATGTAACAGTAAAAACACTCCACAGTAATTCATACTGACCACAAAGTGAAAAGAAAAACCTGCGACACCATTTGACCAACAATCCCCACCTGTTTTCTTATCCAATCCCCAACTGAGTCTCTGAAAGCATGGGTCATTTTTGTTTGCACCAGCATAGACGGAAACATTATCAATCATGTTTCTGTTACGGGGAAATTCATTTTTAATTGGTGTTTGTTTTTACAAGCCATCGCTGGATGTAAACATCTTATTGACGAGCTTGTATGAGAAGATCCATCACAGCTGATAGATTGGCATTAGACTCTTAAAAATAAAGATTCTAAACTGCCATTGAAGAACCTTTTTGGGTTCCCTAAAGAACCGTTGAGTGAATGGTTCTTAAAAGAACCGTTATTTGTTTTGGTGTGAAGAACATTTCATAATCTAATGTACCTTGTTCAGCTATAAAAAACTTTTTGTCCAATGGAAAGGTTCCATGGATGATAAAGGTTCTTTATGGAGCCACTGATGCCAATAAAGAATCTTTATTTTTAAGAGTGCATTCAGGAAAGTTTTCATTAAAAAAATTGGAACTAAATTGTTTTCATTAAGTTTGGTTCCTTTAACAGTTCTGAAATGCTAGTACATTAAGACTCACTAAAGAGCCTACAACTCATGACGTATCTGAATATAAAAAAATATTCACTCACTGAATTAGTAGTTACTTACTCAAGGCATTACTTTAAAATATGCCTACATTAAAATTAACTGTTAATGTGTTTTGCAATCCAATGGAATCCAAATTGTGACTGTGTAATGTCATAGAGTGCTGCAGGAATGAGTCGTAAAACCCAAAAACCAATTAGCTTTTTTTAAATTCTGCTTCAATCATCTTAAAGTCAATGTCAATGGGTTTTAAATGGTTTTTGGTTAAAGGCCTGAAATATGGTCTATGGTTAACAAACTCAAGATATTTTCACATTGTGGCTAAATGAGACTACAGAGGTTGTCGGGGACATTTAACACCATCACGCCGAAGAAATAAACTCATCTGTTGACTAGTCTGCTTTTATAGCCTTGGTGTGTTTATACTCTCACTCTTGCACACAATTATAACTCAAACTTTCCAACTTTTACATTTTAAATAAAGTGATTTCGAAAGCTTAGTGATGTTGAAGTCATGAGATCATGGTGTAGTTTGTTTATCCACCTTATTGTTCAACGCGGAAGTGAGCCTATGGGCGAGACTTCCGGTTCATTAGCCGCTATAGTGAAATAACGAGAAGAATAACAACGTGCAGTAAACAGTAAAACTGTTTGCACTACAAACCAGTGTGTTCATAATTAAGATAATGCACTAAAATAATATGGTAAGGCACGGCAATTTGCAATATCAAGCAGCACAACGGATGCTATAGCCATAAAATTTACAAATGGCCACGCCCATTTTTACAGGAAGAATAAGGTGGATAGCCTACATTTGATTTGTAGATTTGTTTATTTTTGTCCTTGGCTCATGTATTATAGACACTTTAGGCCAATTCACACCGCACCGACAAACACCAACGTTTGTTGGCGTTGGTTGGAGTTCACCCGACTGAACATGCTTAATCGGCGTTTGTTGGGTCGTGGAATGTCTGAGCAGTGTGAAATGATTTTCCAACAAACGACAACAAACTGACGTAATCTGATGAATTACGAACCGTTGCCATGACGATGCACATATTTCACTCAAAGCGAGCTTCAACCACGGCCTCTTCGTTTTATTCGCCGTCTTTCAGGCGAAGAATGACACGCAAAGACATTAATAACAGTAAAATTTTAATTGTGGCTACAGGATCATCCATTTCTTACCCAGTCAGACTTCCCCGATGTTACACCATCTACACCGGACGCGAGCGGCGCGGTGCGACAAAATACAATGAGGTTCTATTGATTATAATCAGTGTCTACACTGGATGCGGCGCACTGCGACAACTGTTGCGTCCGGTGTAGACACGGTGTTACTTGACTCTCTTTGACTCAAAGTTTGTTGGGGCAATGTGAACATGACAGTTATTTTTCATGAAATTCTAAATCCAACAGCCAACTTGAGCCAACTTGTTTGTTGGTGTTTGTCTGTGCGGTGTGAATTGGCCTTTACACAATATATGAATGTTTGTGTCCAGGTGATGTGAAGGTTTTCAGCAGAACATCCCTTTGGAGAGAAGAAATCTCGCAGACGTGAAGAGCAGTGTCTAACTCGACATGACAAGAAGATTCCCATTCCAGAGATGCAGATTCCCGGCTGTTCCCTCGACAGAGGTGTTTGTCCTTGAACCCAAAGACTCTGGAACAGGACCACACAGTTCATTCAATGACTATTACTACTGCGTCTGTCTGTACTATGCAACTGTACATTGATCAACACGTGAGGTGTACTGCCCATTGTTTTAATACTCTGATGATTATTTAGGGTTATGGGGGCCATTTATCGTGTAACCTGTATGCTTTTATTTCTATGTTCACCAAGGAACCACACTGCTACCACACGCAGCTCACATCAGTTGCTGTTCAAATCGGCACGTTGTCTTTCTACAGACGTGGTTATTAGTTTAGTCGGAAAACGTCATAAACATCAGTGGATATGAAGACGAATCGGTCTTGTAATGCTAAACTGTTAACGCATGTTGCCCCCAGCATTGTTCTGTTCAAGTTTTCGCCTGTTTTGACAGTGTTTGCCGTGAACTCTCCCTTTAAAGCATTGTTTCGACAGTTTGTGCCACTGGCAGCAGCGCATCCGAACCCTCACTGCATTTCTAGAGCGCACGCACAGATGATGTACTACACAATATTCGAATGCGTCAAAAACACCCTTTTGTGCCTATAAAGCATCCATTCCAGGAGAGACGAGTGGCTGAGAGATGCTGTATTTCTCAAAGTCATGTAGAGAGATTATATTATAAAAAGACAAATGTAGGAAATGTGGATTTTTAGGACGTTTGGCCCAAGATGATTTATCTTTGTGTAGTATAGTTTTCTAAATAAATGTTTAAAAAAAATAAAATTAGAGAAAGCCATGATTGCCTTGCTACCTCAGACATGATCAATCATTCATTGGTTTGTGCATTGGTTTGACTGTCGATTGATTTCACGCTCCGTTTCCAAAAACAAAGGAAATCACCCCAATGGTCTTTCCATAAAGTTGCACTTGCTACGCGAGTAACTACATTGTGCTTTTCCCTTGATTTCCCAGCAGTCCTTTGATTTTTCTACATGGTGTATTTGTGGTGTGCTACCTTCAGTGAAGTGTTAGATTTTAACATTACTGTAACACCTGCGAAACATTGTTCTGAAGTTGATTCTAGTGAAGTCACCATCTCCGACGCTGTGCTGTTCTGACCCGAGATAGATCGATAAGACCCAACACACTACATGTAATGAGGTTCCATATGTTTTATTCAAAATAAAGTTTTTATAATGAGTGTATTCTTCTGCTTTTTGTGAGCCTTTGTTTTAATCGCATTGTCTTATTACACTAAGGGTAAAAAAGTTATAATGGAATAGCCTAGTTCACCCAAATATTAAAGCTTTTCCATGTCGTTCCAAATTAGGCCAAATTTTTTTTTTCAATTTTATCGTTTAATTCAAATTTAATGTTTTGCCATGATTTTTTTATTTCATTTTATCGTTTAATTCAAATGTAATGTTTTTCCAGGATTTTTTTTAAATCAAGAAATCGCGATTTTCTAACTATTACCTAACGTTACAATTAGATACATTGACAATATGCTAATGATAACAGTTGATCCGATGACCACGCACGGGATGAACCGCTCACGTGTGACGCGCTCTATGAAGGACTGTAGAACATATGAAGAGTTTATTTGCAAAAACCGGTGTTGTGCCCAATTCTGACCCCTGCCAGATTATTACCCCCCTAGTATTGGTAGGTTTAGGGTTAGGTGTGGGGGAGGGGTTAGGATTAGGCAATCAGGTAGCGATTTCAACGAAAGGGGTAATAATTTGGCAAGGGGTCGAAAATGGGCACAACACCTGTAACTCTGTTTTTTTTTATTTTCAAAAATCATGTTTTTTTTATTATGTTATCGTTTTTATTGTTAGTTATCTGTATTTTTTAGTTAGCCTATTTTTTAACCTAATCAAAATAACCCAACTGCAGTTTGATTGTTGAGATTAATTGGAATGCACAATGAAAAAACATGATTTTTGAAAATTGTTAAAAACTGAGTTATCTGTTTTTGCAAATTAACTCTTCATATAGCTATATCGCTAGTGCTATTCACACAGAACACGCTTTTTGCGTCGAAGTGATTCGTTTTACATTTACACCATGTTGACAACGTCATGATATGTGGTGAACTTGGAATAGAACTTTCTTTAACTAGATGGATAATAAAGACCTTGAATCATGTTGTAGTTACATTTTTAAGTTGACTAGTTAAAATCGAAATCAAGAATCGGTCAAACATTCTGAAAAGAATTGATATTTTATATTTTGCCATATCGCCCAGCCCTATTCCAAACCTTTTTTTTTCCCTTTCTTTGGAACACAAAAGAAGATATTGCTTAGATTGTTCATGTTTCTCTTTTTCATACAGTCAAAGTTAATACAGTCAAGCTCTGAAAATGAAATACAAGTAGTCAGTGAGACCTGTATGTTATATTCCAAGATCCTTAAATGAAGTTGAGCACACTATGAAACAATTTAGAGAAATTATGTTTGCAATATGAGAATCTGGCCAAGCAAACTACAATTTACAACACGGCAGTGAATTTAAATAAATAAATAAAGGAGTAAATTGTTGGAACCTAAAATAGTCATTTCAAAATGATTTATTTTTAGTCCAAATGAAATCAAAATTGAACCCTTTCAACTCCAGTACATGTTATTTTACACAACTTCAAATAAAATGTTCTATACTAAAAGCAGTTTATGCTTGTCAAAATATATTTCTACATGTCAGGTAAAAGTGTTTTATGTCAAGAATATTAGCCATGCATGAATTATTAAATGAAGCAATCAGAGCACACCTCGCTTTTCAGACCGATGAGCTTTGTAAAAATCGACGCGTTTCAGAAAGGCGGGGCACAGAGGAGAAACAATAATGTACAGTATGTGGAAAATGTGTTTTTTTTACCTTAAACTGCATAAACACATTTCATTACACCAAATACACAAAATAATGTTCTTTTCAGCAACATCATATGACCCCTTTAAAATGGCTGCTGTAGGGTAAATGTCAGTGGCTCTACTAATAGTACCAGTGCGCTTTGCCTCCAAAGGCAGGACATACTATTAGACTGGTGAATTGAAAAGCTGGAGGAGAGTGAGCACTTGCAAACACAAGCCCACCATTCAAATGTAGGGAAGGAAAACAAGCTTCCACAGGCTCAAAGGAGCAATATTTCATATTTCACTATAACCTTGTTTGCAATGTGAATGTAAAAAGTGGCACAGTTTACCCATCTTGACTAGATTAATGTTAGTCTGAGGGGCTGCTGTAGCACCTCATATTAACCTGCTCTATCACAAGCTTCAGCCTGCCTCAGATGAGCCTCAACTGAACGAAACAGGAAGATTTTCACGATGCTTCATTTTGAACCACTTTCCTCCAAACACCTGATCCTCAGAATATCCTCACTCACTGATGGCACTTCAGGCCAGAAATATTTAAGTGGGTGGATCTACATAAAGCAGGGTTGGCAAAATTGCCAACAGAAAATACAGCACAAAGGTTCAATGCATAGTACCAGTGCGCTTTGCCTCCAAAGGCAGGACATACTATTAGACTGGTGAATTGAAAAGCTGGAGGAGAGTGAGCACTTGCAAACACAAGCCCACCATTCAAATGTAGGGAAGGAAAACAAGCTTCCACAGGCTCAAAGGAGCAATATTTCATATTTCACTATAACCTTGTTTGCAATGTGAATGTAAAAAGTGGCACAGTTTACCCATCTTGACTAGATTAATGTTAGTCTGAGGGGCTGCTGTAGCACCTCATATTAACCTGCTCTATCACAAGCTTCAGCCTGCCTCAGATGAGCCTCAACTGAACGAAACAGGAAGATTTTCACGATGCTTCATTTTGAACCACTTTCCTCCAAACACCTGATCCTCAGAATATCCTCACTCACTGATGGCACTTCAGGCCAGAAATATTTAAGTGGGTGGATCTACATAAAGCAGGGTTGGCAAAATTGCCAACAGAAAATACAGCACAAAGGTTCAATGCACAATGCTTGTACATGAATACATGAATGTTAATTTCAACATTTACTAATACATTATTAAGATTAAAAGTTATATCTATCGTGATCAAGTGTCTCTGTCAGTTCACGTTCAAAGGGGAGTAAACATCAAGTGGAGAACAATCCCTAGCACAATGTTTATGTGTTTCTTTGCACAAAGGACACACTTATTTAGCGGATCAAACCCTGCACCTAAGCTAATATGATGCTTTAAATGTCAGAAAGCGGCCGTCTGATCTCAGCAGTGCTGCTGCCAATATATTAGTCTCACTGCTGGGCAACTTTACAGCTTCATTTTTCTTCTGACATTATAAGCAACTTTCAGAGCCTGGAGTTTGTTGGCAAAACTCAAAGCTTGATTTTCAATTTGGCATGTTTATTTAGACAATATTTCTCAGTGTTGCATGCCATTACATCATCTTTATGCAGCTAAAACATTAAAATTTCATCTGTGATAAATGTTGCCGTAAACTGCTTAAAAAAACGGTTTAGTCGGAACAAAATTGTCATCTACTCAACCTCATGTTGTTCCAAAAAAGTAAATAATGAAGACAATAAAGACATAGCAGAATAAACATGTCTCTGAGCGACACAGTAGTAGTGTTCTTGAATGAAACAAGGCTTTTGAACAAATCAGATGGGTGAAAGATTCAATGACTCACTCATACAGTTGCTTAATTCAATCCTGAATGACTCATCCTGCATCCCAATGCACATAGTATCCATCCTAAATAGTTAGTGAGATTAGAAAAAGCCCCAAAGCATAAATCAATTTTCTAAATGTTTGTTGTCGCGAATTTGCCACCTCTTACGTGTCCAGGTACCTTTTAAACACCAGAAGCGCATCTGACAAGCAGTTGCAAGGAAATAATACCTGCTTGTAAAAGCTAACAAACATATTCTGTATCTGAAGCTAAATCACTAACCATTGAGAATGCACCAGTATTATATTTTTGCACATATTACAGATTTTTACCAGCTGATAACCACTTCCTTTGATTCAATATGTCTCTCAACTTGACGCTCACATAAACCATTCACAGTTTGAAACAAATGCTGCATACTTTTATTTTTCATTTTCATTTTAGTGATATAAAATAAAATTCAAAGTTTAGAATCAAATTTTAAATTAAATCTATGAATGTAGCGATTAGAATTTCAATTCTAAATCGAGATTCCAAAAGATTTCCACCACTACATAGTATGCTGAAAAGTGTATGCCAAAAGTCTGCGGATATTCTGCTATATTTTTGAAGTGTGGATCCATGCACATTGGTTAATGGAACCCATTTTAATCAGTAGGTGCATCCCAATTTGTGCACTATTGCGTGGCATTTTGTAGTATAAACAGTGAAAGTAGTGCAGTCACATTGAAAATTCCAAATCGAAAAAGAACCTCTTTAAATACCCGGATGATGCACTTAATTAACAAAGTCTGGAATGTTGCACACTTCATGCATTCCAGTGTCACAAACGTTAATTACATAGTGGAGGTGCTATCAGACTCTGATTATAAACGAAAGAATAACCTTATAAAATCCATGCACTACAGTTGAGTACATGGTGCATAAGTAAACAGAGAATAGCACGTTATTGGAGACACAACTAGTGATTGTGTCTACACTGGATGGATATTATATACCACAAAAAGTCATTCATATTTGATAACACGCGTAAAAAGACAGTATAAGTCATTATAATCCATAATTATGTCCCCACTGGATGCAACATATGCCTCGTTTATAATGGGTTTTAATGTTTTTGTCTCGTCGCTCCGGGACACGGCATCACAGTATGGTGAGGGGCGTAACATTTCCGTCACACGCTTGAGGTATTCGGCCAATCACAATGCACTGGATAGCTGGCCAATCAGAGCACACCTCGCTTTTCAGACCGATGAGCTTTGTAAAAATCGACGCGTTTCAGAAAGGCGGGGCACAGAGGAGAAACAATAATGTACAGTATGTGGAAAATGTGTTTTTTTTACCTTAAACTGCATAAACACATTTCATTACACCAAATACACAAAATAATGTTCTTTTCAGCAACATCATATGACCCCTTTAAAATGGCTGCTGTAGGGTAAATGTCAGTGGCTCTACTAATAGTACCAGTGCGCTTTGCCTCCAAAGGCAGGACATACTATTAGACTGGTGAATTGAAAAGCTGGAGGAGAGTGAGCACTTGCAAACACAAGCCCACCATTCAAATG